TATACTCTTGTTTATTCGTCGAATTCTGGAAAGAAAATCTTACATGAAAGCCCCTAGTGGGATGGTCGATTGGAGAGTATGAGAAGTTGTTGAATGAAGTTGGTGAATGATATGGAATGAAAATCCATGTGTGTTATAAAAGCTCTCTCTCCCCTCTCTCTCTCTCTGCCTGCATACATCTGTCAATGTAAATCAATTTTCTATGCGAAACAAGGAATGAAACGAATACAGCGATCTTTATTTAATTAAACGACAATAAATGAATAATAAATTAACGATAACAACGTTTTCTCTCTTGTATGTATGGTAACATGGTATATAGTTTTCCGGTGGATATGTGATTTTCAATAAACAACATACAGATTGTTAACGAACATTTTCACTTTAAATAAATGAGTAAACAGATTTTCGAATGTTGTTGATTTGTTTTAAGCATTTATCCATGCATTACAGATGCTGAATTGGAACGAAGTCATGTTTAAATGACGCTCTTATGCAATCAAATCCGGATCATATTTTATGGATAGGAAACATTTTACGATATATGATTACCGATTTTAATTTTACCGAGAAAATTACGATACATACAGTTCATTGTTTTTATTGGCCACGTTATCAAGTGGTACATGAAAATGGCTAAACACATTAAATGCAATATTTTTTTATAGGTGTACAACACGGGGCTCATTTGAAGCAGCTGGCCGAAAACAATAAGAGAATAGCAATACTGTGGCTGTTGTCAAACAGTTACTATGTTAGCCTCTTGATGAGGCTCCAAACATTTTAGCAGATCAATTTTTGAAAGTTGTCTGTATTAGAAGCGACGATTTCGGCAACATTGTTCGCCAACAATCCGTATATCACGTTACCGATATTTTAATCCACTTTACATTTTGGGCAATGTTTATGTTTGCATAATGTGATTTGTTTCGGCCGATATTTGCCGAAAATCTAATACACGTGGAAGCTATAAAAGAGCGATCGCTTTCAAAGTGATACACGAGACTATGGGATAAATGCCATCAATCGTGTTTCGAACATCGATTTTGCTATTTCACTTATTAACTCATCCAACTATCACTGTTCGTTCACTTTTCACCGTGATATCAGTTTTCACCATTGTTTTTGCACTTATGCCGGGACGCTGGTGTTTTCAATTCAAACTCGATCTCATTACAGCCATTTTCACATTCGCCGACAATTTCAAAGCTTTTACATCAATAACAATCAAATGGCATGAATGGTGTGTGTGCTTTGTTTAGCTTACCGTTTTGTGTGATTTAGGCATGGTACATCATTCCATATTGTTTGAGTTTGTAATACACACGCGCTCATCTTTGCATCCATTTTCTGACAGTATATTATATATATTGTCGACCAATCTGATAGTATTCTGGTGTTGCTCATTACCAGTTAAATCACAGATCATCATTAATCTTAATCTGCATGTATATATTATAGGTATTTAAACCCCTTTTTCGGTTGACTTGGTATATTCCGAACATATACACCTACATATATCACAAATTCAATTAGATGGATATAATGTGTGCGAATAAATTGGCCACAACCCAAAACGTATGCTATGATGATTTCAATTTTTCATCCCGTTCTCTTTTTTTGTGTGTTGTTCGGTTCGTTTTTCTTCGTCTTATTCTTTTGACACAAAACATTTTGCATTTAATGCCCATTGTTTTGCCATCTACCCACCGATATTTCCGCTGCAGCCGTGCGATAATCTTGAACAATGTGTTAATGGCATTTCAGCTATAGAATTACATTAATATTCACATAAAGCAAAAGGTGCGCAAAGCTCACAAAATTACCATCACCCTCACCGAAAACAACAAACTCGCAATGAACACAAAGAACCCAACTCAAGACGTTCAACCGGATGGAGAATTCGCATGCATGCTTAAATAGAAATTAAACTCAATGAATAATGAATTTCGACAAAACTCATCGCGTGTTTTTTTTTATTTCACGTGAATTATGCAGCAAATTGGGTACATTGCGCGATGCCGCAACAGCAGCAGCGTTAGTAGTAGCTGATGTCCATTTTTCAGGAAGAAGAAAAAAAAACGCAATAAAGAAACGTCTGTAACACACATACACACAAGAAAAATTAATTTGAAACAAGTGCTTTTAAGCTGGTATGCTTTTAGACGACATATTTCAATAAAACTTGGATTAATATTTGACCGTGAGTAAAATACCAAAAAAATGCCATTTACTACCGCATTCAACCTTTAATACGTTATCTCTACCCGGATCGCAACGACACGTTTGGTCATTTTTCGTTGTTTTTCCTCTCTGTCTTTCTCTCTTTTTCCCTGTCATCGTTCATATTTTTTTTCAGATTTGCTACCTAAGTGGAATTTGTCGAATACGGTCCAATTTATGCATCCATCTATACAATATTTATATCTATCTATTCTTTTTGTTTTACATATTCATCAATAAATGAAAAGCATAGATACAAAATGAGAACAAACACTACATGCCAAAGGTTTTCAATGAAACTTCCACTTTTAAGTCGTATTTGCTGTCCAACTGAACAAATGACGACACTAATCTATTGCAAATGAAAAAGAAAGGCGACTTTTCATTGCTATCATTTACGATTTCAACTCGCTTATTTGCACACCCCATGCGCGAAACCATGTTCTTTTTTTTTGTTTTACTTTGCAATGCTCTAGCTTAATTTTTAATTCACTTGGACTGAAATACTGTTTTTTTTTTCCTTTGCTAAATATTTTGCCGTCACTGTTTCTCCCTCCACTGTGTCGTCTCTGTGTGTGTTTGTTTTGTTTTCTTTTGTCTTTTCAACATCACGAGAAAAAAGCTCACGCGAACACAATACATTGGCAATAAAAATAAAATGGAAAAGCACTGAAATCGGCCCATAATTCATCCAACTGCAGTGCAGTGAATGCATAGCATATCGTCAACTCTCTGTGTTTTATGCAATGTCGCTTTTTTTCCCCGTGCCGATATGGATGAACGAGTGAACAAAAGATCGAAAAAGTCATGTCCTCCTATCTCACACAGAGGGGGAGAGAGAGAGAACGAGTGCAATGTGAACAAGCGCATGAAGCGTGCAATGTCAACCGAATATTCTCTTGGATAAGAGATGCATAATTTTTAATAGTTTTTTCATTAGTATAAATTACAATAAGCAAAATGGTGGTACATGGTGCTAGTGTATAAATAATGATTGTTGCACACAGCACGGTGCATTAGCCGCTTTGCCATATACATATATATTTATCCTTTCGATGAAACGACGCGAACTGGTGGGACGAGAAAAACGGTCGATCACAAGAAACGAAA